AAAAAAAGGAAGCTTAAAACAAAATCTACTTTCTTGAGAAACTAAAGAGCTTACTGCTCAGACTGCCTTCAAAAAACATCTCTCGAGTTTGAGAGAAAACATCACATTCCTGCTTCAAAAGACACAGAGCTCAGTGTGTCTTAATTAAAGCGACTCCACTGGGAATGCAGGGAAGATGTAGAGGATTTACTGAGAGGTGGCAGGCAGCAGAAAATTCATCCAGTTTAACGTAAGAACAGATGCTGATGTTTAAACTAAATGTACTTATAGAAAAACAATCAAAAGCATATTTTTAACCTAATATCTGAAGTTATGGATTTCATTCAAGTCTAAATGATTTGGAGGTCATTTCTTAAACATTTTTCTAAAGTCTGAGTTACAATTCCATCTATTTCCTGCCACTTATCTGAAGTCCGATAACGGGGGCAGCAGGTTAAGCATGGTATTTCAGATGTCCTTTTCCCCAGTCACATCTCCAAGGTTGTCCTAGAGCATACTGATATGCTTTGCGGCCACACTTATGTATATGATCGCTCAAGAAAATGGGTGTGCCCCAAAAACCTCCCAAAGGAAGCGTCCTGTTTAGTTACCAGAACTGAGCTGACTCGTTTCAGTGACTATATTGTTCAAAATATTCACTCGTCGCCATCCCATTCTTAGTCCATAGGGTTTAGTATGATGCCGGCCCACTCTTTCTTTTAGCTATCATAGCTTCAACTCTTCTGTGAAGGCTTTCCACAAGATTTAGGAGTGCGTACTATGTGCCTTGGCCTGGCATAACGGTGCACTGTGGAATATTTAGTAGTGGGGAAATTTCACAACTGGCCTTGTTGCACAGGTGGCATCCTATTACGGTACCACGCTGGAAATGACTGAGCTCCTGAGAATGACCACTGAAGGAACAATGGGCTGGGAGGTCAGTTCCTAGTAAAATATAGTGTATAATATAACTACACTTTGGAACTATAGCAGAAAATAGAAGAATTTCTTTGCAAGATCTAAAACTTGGGAAAAGTATAACATGAGATGTGGATGTGCATGCTAAGTCTTGAGCCGTGCTCGGGCTTAACTTTCTTAATTGTTTACACGTTTTCTTTTTTCCTGCTGGACTCATGGTGCTTACACAGAATTGTGAAGTCTGAATGCTTTATTCTGTGATCAAACCAGAAAAAAACTTGGCAAGATTAAACAAACCTTTATTATTTTTCTTAACATTTTATTTCTGGTGTTATTTAGTTGTATCTAGATGACTGGAGACATCAAACGGTCTCAATGCTACCTGCTATTTAAGACATACTTACATGTCCACACTATGGGTTCAAGTTTTTAATGCACTCTATCCAAAGCAATTTATTATTGTCCTTTTTTTGTAGTTTTCCTTTGCTATTTCCCATTCTTAGAGTTTTAACGCTGGTATGTACCATTTTTTTCTGTAAAGCATTGCATTGATATAAAAAGATTCTTTTTTTTATCTAGAGCTTTTCTTAGGTACTCAGTCTGCAGCACTTTGATGAAAAATGAGGACACAAGGGTTGTTTGTGTATTGTGACTCAACAGATTCAGGATTTAACTTCAAAATGAAAAGTTTTTTTTTAATGTGTTTTAGGACAAAAGTAGGCCACAGAATGCAGTTGGGCAATATCAGCCTTTGGTGATGATTAAAGTAGTTGGGGCATAAATCTATATTAGGTATTGATGGTCTTTTGACCACACAGGCAGGCAGCTATGAAGCTGAGGGAGCAGAGCCACCACTGAGAATAAATCAACACATGCAGCTGTGACACATGAATGCTGGTAGCAGTGATAACAAAACACCCTGTAACTATTTTGCATGTTGCTATTTTTTCTAACACCTTTCTCTCCTTTTTCTCATCTTTGGGGTTTTTTGGGGGGAGGTGTTTTGTTATTTAAGTGGAAAATATTATGAAGTGTATTGATATCTTCAGCAGCTGTTATGACCTTTTTTTTAAACTGATGGTGTGTGAATAGTGTCTTTTCCTCCCTCTTCTGTGTCTGGCTGAAAACTTAGGGTACCTACTTTGAATTGAGACCCTATTATTCTGGTCTGGGAAAACTTTCTTATTAACACATTTTCTTCCTGTTTATGTCAAGGAGAAGTGTAAAAGGTCTTGTGTTTTCTTTTGGTGGTGGGTAAACTAGGTGTCTTGATGCATGCTCAATAATGAGAGACCAAAGACGTCAGTTGGATGAGTGATGAAACATTCGTTTCACTGAAAATGCTGCATCCAGGTGACGAGATAACTTCTAATTTTCTTTGATTTCGTTACCTGGATTACTGGGCTTGCATCCAGGTAAACTAAGGGTTTTGAAAATGTTGTGTTTACTATTTTGGTCTTTCACAGGAAGTGGGGAAGAAGGGAGTCACTTTTACATTATGCTCTGGTTTCCCCTTGTCAAAGCCAGGGGAATTGTCCATTTTGCTTTTATTACAGGTAAGTGAGGTAGGTTATGTTTTTGCATATTTCTGGTTGACATTTATTTTTCTTAAGTAGCATCGGAAAGTTTTTCAAGTTATTGCTTGTAAGCAAGAGCATCACTAGAGAGTAAAAGCAGTTGTCAGCATCTTTGAGCAAAATGAGTCCACAGTTTTCAATCCCAGTGACATGCATGGTGCTGACCAGGAGCAGGACTGTGCTAATCTTTTTTTTTTACTGTCACAAGGCTGAGCACCATGAAATTGTCTCCCCTGATGAAACTGTAAATGTGGAGTCCCACTGTACCGTCCTTAGGCCTCTGATGGGGAACGTTCAGTAGTGAAAATGATGCGAACTGGAATGGGTGCCAGCGCACAGTGCATTAAAAACTTGCCAGATTTGCAACCATACCATTTCATCCACGTTGCAGATGTATTAATGACACCTTATACGTGATGTGTCTTCCACCATTTTTCAAGAAGACTGCAGCACAACAACGCACTGCACACAGGGGGTCGACAAGATGCAAAATTGAGAAGTCATGAATACTTTAAAACCTGCTCTTCTTTCCCTCTCCCCACAGTCCAAAGAAATGCAGGTTATTGGATTTGAAACAAACAAACAAAAAGCCTGTTATCTCTCTGACAAACAGGCTCGCTGAGTGCAGGCAGAGGCGATTGAAAAAGAGAGAAAAAGCAACAACGAATCAGAAATGAGATTCAAGAAGTGTGATGAGACAGAACAGCTGGCCAGACAAAAAGAAAATAAGCAGAGCATAAAAATAGCATGCTAAGAAACTGGAAAAACATAACACATGAATGAACAAAGCAAGCAAATTAAATGGGAATATGTGTAGAGCCAACCCCTTAATGACACTGATGTTTTCACTGTTACCTGAGGTGACAGGAAGAAAAAGTTACATAAGCCTTCTTTTTAGTGTTGATATGAAAATCCAGTGAAGGTTATTGTATGCATTTGATTTGAAGACATCCCAAGACAAAGATCCAAATCCATACGAATGCAAATAAAGTCTCTTTCTTGCAATAATACAGTAGAGAAGTTATTCAGTATTCCCTCTGCTACAAAGAAGACGACACTGAGCTGACACTCAGACAGATCAATAAGACTCCCACCAGAAGAGTGGGCTGCTGACTGCAGGAGCCAATATCTCTATTTGCACTCAACTCACACATGCCAAGGGTAACTCAATGCCACTTTGCACCAAACCGCACAATCAGATGGATATCCCAGAGGTCTCCAGTTAACACTGAAATCTCTGTTTCAACAGCAGCAGTCTGGATTTCAGCTCCAAACAATCAGAAACTAACTGACGCAGGTTGGAAACGTACTTGACTTTGAATGCACGCTCCTGCTGTGGTGAGTGTGGTAAGAATGACAATCAAGATCTTGGGTCATTTTAACAAAATTGCTATGCACAGGCCTACATCTATGCATCCAGGCAAGCCCCGTCAGACAGAAGGATAACACTGACCTACCAAGCATGGTCAGGCCTTTCATTCAGACTGTATCTCTGCAGCTATTAAATAGATTTCTAATTTTGTGCACACTGTCTCAACAACTTTGTCTTAACAGACTTTGTTTTAACAAATATCAGGTGGATTTCTTTTAAGAGGACTAATAAAGTCCTCTTATAAAGAGTTTTTACCAAGCAACCTCATTAGAACAAAAATGGCATTTGCTCAGCCCTGTTGTTTATGATCATGGAAACTATAGCTTTTTCCCCCCAGTTGCATCCAAAGAGAACTTTTTCTTCATTTTATTGACCTGGCATTAAGACTTGCCCAGTGGGAACAGTCTCATCAGATGCTGTGGTTTTTAAATTGCCTGCAGTCATACATGATGAATGATGTGTACTGGGATTAAGCCATTAGGGTTAAATAACAGAGAAGTGGCTGGAGAGGCACGTGTACCTGCTAGTCACCCATCACTCAATGGCTACCAATTAAACTGCAGTTATAAAAACCCCTTCACCTTATTGCTAGAGTGCTTTTGAAATTACAAATAAATGAAATTACTAGCTCATGCTCAACATTCTTCAAAAATCTGTAAAAAAAAGCCCCCCAAAATGTATGATGGGAGTAAAATAATAATAATGATAATAATAATCTATTTTTGACACTTAAGCAAGAGGGTTTCAAGGTGATTCAAGGTGATGTAATGGTTAACTTTTGAGGTTGGTTCTGGCTCCATCTGCACTTCTATATGGGTTTGGCATAGCTGTGACTTACTGCCACAAAAAACGAACAGTTTTAGGTTCATTGGTGATTCTAAATTGGCCGTAGTTGTGGATGTCACCATACAGGGTTGCGTCTCTCTGTGAGAGCACTGTGCGGTGTCTGGGATAGGCTCCAACTCTCGTGGAAACTGGGGCTGGGTAAGGAGTTAAGAAAAATAACGAATGGATGGATGATTATGTGAATGTCAATTCTGTGCCAGCTGGAAGCCGTGCTCACCCACCCACCACCACCCTGATCTCCACATCCTTTGGTTTGAAGTGCTGTATGAGTGTAATTTCTCTAAAAATGGGTTTTTCGGCAGCCTTACCGTAACAATAAGTCCCCTTTCCTGGAAGTATTTGACCAGAGGAATGGTGTTTTGTTTGAAGTTGGTCAGACGGCGCTCAATGGCCTTAGGGTTGTCGTCAGGCCGTCCCTGCTGCTCGGCTCGTTTCTGCAGCCTCTCCTTCAAACGGTGGTTAGTGCAGGCCAGGAACACCACAAGGTCAGGAGTACAGATCTAGCGGGAGAGACGAGAATATATTAACCAATACTGTAAATACTTTACCTCTCATAAAAGTCTTCATTTATATGTGATGGCCATAATTTGACCCTGTGGAACCTCAGAAGTGCTGACTCTTTCAAATCTCTGCGGTCCACTCAGGTCAGCCTCATTTTTAAATTCAGTTCACTCAGGTCAAAATGATAAAAATGCAACTCATTCAAAAATAAAAGACCTCATCTTTCTAAGGTCTGAAGAGACAGTATATATACAGTGGGTATATATAGTGTGTGTACACAGAAATATTTCCTGCTTTTGAATTAAATCTACTTGAATTCCACTGGAATTCATTGCCTTGAGGATTTCAGCTTATCACGTAGAAAATAGCCTGCGGCTGCACCAGCGACGCCACGGTTTTAATACAGGTGGGATTATGACTCAGACAGGTTAATACTGTCCCCCCTCAAAAGAAGATGAGCACATAAGCTGCCACTCAGAAAGCTTTTCTTTGCATTATTGCTTTTGTGTAATAAACAGAGGAGGATGATAGATAAACTCAGCTAAAAATTAGCATCTTTTTTGAGGGACTTAGATATAATCCAACAAGCAGCAGTTTTCATAATCATGTCAGTGGTTCTGTGTGTAGACAGGAGCCCGTTTGGATTTAACAGTTCAAGATAAATAACCCCATATCAGCCATATGTAAACAACACTATGATTGCTCTTGCATACATTTGCCTATATAGATCACCACTGAGTGTTTTAATGCCATTAGTAATTACCAAAATATTTTTTTATGTTTCTCTAATGGTTAGTCTGCCAGTATGGACAAGCTCTTTTATTGAAGCGATATTTGTTAATGGTTAAATATAATGATTGTTGTTATCCATGAATTTTTCGATTTATTTTAAAAAAAGTAGGTGGCAGCAGGTGGTCTTTTGACAAAATCATCTTTGATTTAGATTTTTTTATGCTGTTTCTAATGATTGACAACAAATAAGACTGCAAATAAGGAGTAATACGATCACATTCAACTTCTCTTTGTGGTTATCAGGCTTTTAATTTGTCTGCCTCAACAGCCCAGCTACAGAACATCCAAGCAGCCAGTGCATAAACAGAAAAGTCATCAGAAAAATCATTATTGCAAAGTTCAACGTTCAGTTTAGAGGATGTGGTCTGTGGTGCTCATGACCTGTTTTGTAATAGAAAAAGAAAGGTTAGTGTGCCAACTGAATTTGTGTCATTTAAACCTTGCAACCAAAAAAGGAGAGTGTAAGCAGAGCTATTCTTTTTAGCTCAAAATGCTGCAGTTGTCACTATGTACAGTCGGTCAGCTCATTGTAATGAGTATGCCTGCCTCATAGTCCTTGCAGGTGACTATTTGCAATGTGCCCAGAACAATGAAGTACTGTCATGTGAGTACATAAGGCCTAAATACACTAAGCAGTTAAAATTCAGGGATAACACAGTTATAAACCATATTGGATCAATTTCATGTGCTTTGGTGCAATTGAAAGTACACTTAAGACACAGCAGCAAAGTAATGCTCATTCAAGCTGCACAGGCAGAGCAGCTACAGTATGTACTGTCACACGAAGGTTTGGAGCACTACTCAAGCCCTACAAAATAAAATCCAGCAGGCAACTTGTGTACTTTTTTCTAGCCAAACTGTCTTGTGGGCTTCAGATACTGTTTCATTTTCATGCCATCAGTAGTGACAAGGACAGTAGCACCAAGAAAAACTAGAAAAAATATCAGTCAGGAGAAAGCAATGGTCTTTTGCACTCCCTCCAAGGCCATTCTCTTTTTGGGGATGTCCTTGTTTTTGTACCTGTTGTCACTTTCATTTGCAAAGCAGGTAAAATGGATTCACAATCTTTCCTGCTTCCTAGCAGGACAGGACTATCCCTAAAATTTAACTGACTTTGTGTTTTTGAGCAGTGTTTAAACATACAGTATAACAAAATGTGGCTGTCATTGACAAGAAATCATCAGAGCGTCTTCTTATTTAAAAGAAGACTAAGTCTTCATTAGGTTAAAGTTCTATAGTTAAGTGCCTAAAATGTTAGGTACTGACTAAAACACATTTAACAGCTACTCCACCCTGTAAAGTGTGTAACTAACAAGTGCAGACATACCCTATCTGCCGGCCATTTAAAGATCACTGAAGGATACTTTTATCTGCATAACGTAAAGCATCATCAAAGTCAGGCAATTTAGTTTCTATAGTAGTTCTGACCTCCTCAGGTGTGACTCACAGAAGTGCTAAATATCCTCCTCGTCTTGTACCTGACAACCCACCACCAGTGGGAACCTTGCACTATATAAAGCCTGCACAGGAGTTTATAAGTTAGTTTCCTCCAGCTTGTGTTTCACTTTGATGAAATGGACTTGATGAACAATCCAGAGTCTGCATTTTATCTGGCACAATGCCCGAGAACTAAAAATAGTCTGAACGACGATGCTTATCGAGGCACATGCCACTCCAGCAGTGCGACTCAGGCTTGAGTCTTATAGCCGCTGTTTGCTACGAGAACGTTTTTAGATAAATCTTTATTAAAATGGTTGTCCTCACGTCAGACTGGAGCAAAAAGACATCATGTCAGGCTGTTTTAATGCCGGCAGTTCAGTAAGTGAATCTATCTGTTTTGCTTCAAGGCCAGGAAGCATGTGGAGGCTTTCTTTCAAACACACACTCATACAGAGTCCTAAATAAGGTGCATAAGCAGGCTGATGCTGACCTGATGGCTGTGCCAAACATCACTGCTAATAACCTTTTAGGGATGTTCTGCTAAATGCACTCGATTGAAGGGAAAACAACAACAAAATCCAAAAAAAAAAAAAAAGGTTTTGAAAAAAACGATGGCCGCAATTGACGCAGCTTCCTGTTGTGCTGCAATGGAAAGTTAATATCTATCACAGAAGGTACATAAGACTGTTGCTGTATGCTAACAAATGGTTTTAGCATTTAAGGATTTTTGTTTGTTTGTTGTGATTGGATTTGTGTGCCATTTTATTAGGTTTTGTTTCTGGTTTATTGAGATAAGAAACTGATTCATTTAAATGAAAAATCTTGTTTCATACTTTTTCACATAATACTGCCTTACACAAAGAAACAGTTGAATATGGGCTCCAGTCCAGAGTGAACTTGGCTGCCTTGAGTTAATTTCATTCTCCTCTTCCTTTCTAAACATATGTAGCTGTAGACTATCAGGCGTCTCCATCTGTCTGTATAGACCCAATTGTTCTCGGGTGGTTTCCTCTCCATCCGCCCTGCATCTCTCATGGAGAGGAACAAATTTTAAATCTTTGACGTCTCCAGGAGCTTTCTAACCTGTCTAAATGAATAGAACAAGACTGCATAGTTTAAATAAATGTCACCATATATACTGTAGAAACTGGAGGATGGCAACCGATTGCAGCTGAATCACTCGGTCTATAAAAGTCACCAAAACGAGTAAGCTGTCCAACAGCATCTCAAGTAAAAACCCAAAAGATTTTCCAGGAACACTAAAGCTGGCATTTTATTTTCTTTAAAAATGATGAATTGAAGATAGTTGCAGTTTCATTTCCTTTTATTTAACTAATTGCATAATGGGCTAATCCTTTAATTTTTCATTGAGTGTATTCTGCTGAACCTCAGTTAACATTAATTTTTATTGTTATACTGAGTCTTGCAGTTATTTCCTTGATTCATTGGATAATTGGTCTATAAAGCACAATAAATTATGCCAACTAAGAACATTGTGGTTGTCTTTAAACGTCTCATGTCCAATCAAGAGTTACAAAATTCTAATTACTGCATGTGTGTTTGAAACACCCTCCATTATATTTACAAATTGGGCACTTTAGTACACCTTATTAGAATGTACTGGACTGAGTGTAATTTAAAGCACCTTGAGGCAACTGTTATTATGATTTGGTGCTGTAAAAATAATACTGATACTGGTGACTATGGAGTCCATTTGAGTACAGTGAACTCATTGTCATATTTAAGAAACTATCTTGAGATGAACTGAGCTTTGTAAAATCAAGACTTAACAGACCAGGCCTTGTTTTTAGGTTTTTGTTGTCTAGTTTTGCTGAAGCTGTGTGAGTTTCCTGTTAGCTGATAAGAGTAGAACAAGGTGTGGTCTTCTTCTGCTGCAGTCCATCTGCTTAAAAGTTTGACTAACTACAAGTTCAGAGATGATATTCTACACAGAGAACTGCTGCTCTTTATCAGACCATCCTCTTTAAACCCCAGACATGGTTGTGTCCGGTGTATCAGCATTTTTTGAAATGCTCAGACCAGCCTGTCCAGCACCAGCAACCACATTCAAAGTCATTTATTTACATTTCTTCCTCATTCTCATGCTTAATTTGAATTTTTGCAGGTCATCGTACACAGATGAGTGTATACAAGACCAATAATGGCAGCAAAATCTAATTCTTGAGACCCATGAAATATCAAACATTGGACACTTTTCCTTAAGATTTTTTTAATAGACAATAAACAAAGAGTTCAACTAATCAATCTGTTACTGGGATAGAACAGAAAGCTGTCAAAAGTACGTGTGCTTTTATTTAAAAGATGATTTCTGCAACCATTAACCTGGTTCATAACCAGCAGTGATATTCCTTTTGAAAATCGTATTCTTTGATTTTGTCTGAGAGTCACACAGAAAACTATAATGCCAACAAAGAAGAAACTTCAGTCTTTAACTGTAACCTGTGCAGATTCTCTAAATGCCACCCACCCACTTATCTTGCATATTCACAGTGGTTATGTGTCTAGATGGAAATTCACAGAAAACAAATTGATTTTTTTTTTCTTGCTGCGGATGAGGAGAGCGGTGTAAGCTTGCTAAAAGAACAATTACATAATTACTGTTAGGTTTTTTTTTTCTTTTACTTCCCCTTAGACCAGGGAAGTCTCTGTCTTGCAGGAGGAGGAAGATAAAGAAATGCGCATTTGTAATACGCAGAAATTAATTATTCTCAGAGCAGAAAGTTGAGTTTCTCTCTGTTGTTTTTAT